ATTTAAAACCACAAATGTTACTATGAATTAATTCAAGTGGTTCCGTACTTTTTTCAATTGAATGAAATAGGGTTTTGGATAATTTTGCCTTAACGCAATTCACATTTATGATTTGAATTAATGTTAAATTTAGGTAAACATTCCATATTAATTAATCTACGCAAAAATCCATAATTAACATGTCCAGGTCTACCGTGCCATAAATTTGAAGACTCAAGCAAGTAAGAAGAAGATGTAATTTTATTAATAACAGAGGGTACAACAGTCATTACGTTCATTTTGAAAAGGCCATCCGTCATATAACATTTTCCTACATAAAAGCCATTTTTGGTAAGTACAAACTTGTTATTTTCAAAAACTAACCTAAACTCATTTTTACTCAATAAATATCTGGAAACAAGATTCTTGCGAATGTCCAGTACATGCAACACATTGTTGAGAGTGAGTTCCTTTCCAGATGTCATCTTCAGAATAATCTTTCCTTATCCTTCAACTTTAGAAGTCGAGGAGTTGCCTATAAAAAGTTGTTCACCGTCATCCACTATAGAATAAGCTGTGAACATCTTTTTGTTGGCACAGATGTGACGAGTAGCACTAGTGTCCACTCACCACTCTTTAGGATTTCCGACAAGGTTTGCCTCTGAAACAACTGCAGAAAGATTTATGACATCTACACCATTAGAAATTTTATCTATTTCGGTCATATTAGCTTAAGCAACCTTCTTGTTTGACCTTCCTTTACCTGTGCAAAAATCAGTTCCTAAGAACTTCTCTGACTTTTTACCATGATTCACTGGCACAGTCCCAACATAAGGAGGTGCAATTGCAGCCATCATACCAGTACTGGTCTGAACATTAATTTGACTAGTTTCTGTAGCCATGAATTCTAAATTATAAAACAAAATTATAATTATAATTTTATACTACACAAAAAATTAAACCATAAACATAGAATTAAATTCTGTAAAAATAAAAGATACAAGAATTGTAACTTTTATTTCCAATTAATTTGAAAATAAAATAAAATTTTATTTAAATAAATTAATTCCACACAAAAAATTAAATTTCTATAACACTTCAATAATTAAAATACCGAAACAGAATTTTAATTAATGAACACTCAGAAAACATAATTAAATTCTGTAAAAAATAAAAGAAACAAGAATTGTAACTTTTATTTTCAATTGTTTTGAAAATAAAATAAAATTTCATTTATACAAATTAATTTCACACAAAAAATTAAATTTCTATAACACTTCAATAATTAAAGTACTGAAACAGAATTTTAATTAATGAAAACTCATAAATTATTTCTGAAAAATCAAAATTAATTTCTAACAAACTTCTAGTGGAAAGAGATGAGCCAGTGAAACTTTCATCTGATATATGTTTAGGGACCTTAGACATCAAAAAATAATTTTGTGGATCTCTTCCATTACGAAAAGTGGAAGAGGGACCCTAGACCGATTTTCCCATTATATTACTACTAGTTGTCAAAGAAAATAAACAGTATATTACTACTATCTGTCAAACAGTATATAACTACTATTTGTTTTTCAAACCATAATATTATTTTGTAAAACCACATAAAATAATTTCTATAAGAAGAAGAAAGAGAAAAGGAAACAAACGAAAAATTCTGTATAAACAGAATAATTCGAATCTGTCTTAACATTATTGGAACAATCTTCTATGTAAAATAAATAAATTGAAACAAATCAAACAAATAAAAAATAAATTACTTATCGAATTTATTTTACCGAACCAAATAATTAATTAAAAGATCAAGTCGAGTGTGTGACACTCTGTCCTTAAGACAGATTCGCCCCGCTACGGTGCTTACAGATAAAAGGCGTCTATCTCCTAGGATACAATGATTTTCACAAATTATAGTAGCACTGCAAAAAATTTGTACGGCGAACAAAACCTGTGTTCTAAACTCTCTAATTTTTTACTAAAATAATATAAAGAATAATTGATACAAGAGAGCAAAATGAAGGTAAGAAAAATGAATTTTTCGAAACCAAATGACTGGTATATATAGGCAAAAAGCAAACCCGAATAGGTATGGATTTGAACTTGAACAGGTGCAAAACCCTTGAACAAATTTAGTTTGTAAACTTGGACAGATCTACAACTATCCAGATTTTGAATATGTCTAGGCAGTTGTGAATCTGTCCGAAATTCAACAGATTAAAAATTGTTTGTGGAATTCGGATCTGAAAAAGAGGCACAATTATTGGACAAAAATTTGAATTAAAAACATTTTGAAATTCAAATAAATTAATGTTAGAATCGACCCGATCCACAACCCATACTCGGCACGGCTGGACAAATGGCGACGGTGCGCGTGTGGTGGTGGTTTGGGCTAAGGTTTATTTTGTCTATAACTCCTCCATTCTATAAACTTAGGGTGCCCCTTGGGGCCCAACCCAAGGTTGTACACTTAGAGCTTGTATACTCACAAAAACTCTTTTAAAGTTTCAATGTGGGACAACCTATTTTAAGGAAACCCACATTTAATTCTTTAAAATGTTCCATTCCACGAACCCGAAAATGACGTCAAGTTCCCATTCACTCATAAATGGTTTTGGTGAACCGTTTTCACTGTGTGACTTGCTATGCGGCAAGGAACACGTCATCTCTTTGGACCCATTTCAAAAAACATGTGGACCCCACACAATTTTGGGCTTAAAATTGGCCCAAAATAAGCTTATAAAAAACCAATTTTTTAACAGAACTTGACACTTGCCTCTTGAAATTGGGTTACGCAGGGGATTTTAATGCAAATTTCATCCCCGAAGATATGATATTTATGGGTTTGTTTATCACAAATATTATAATTTAATCTATGAGATTCGTAACTAAAAACAAAGAGTTATAACCAAATTCGATCATAACTAAAATAATGTAATAATTAATATCACAATGAGTCAAAACACCACGATAGTCTATAGATCATAACTAAAAATTACAAACGCCATAACGGATATGGAATTTCTCATAAATATAATATATTTTGTCCCTCTAGTCATTATTTTAATATTTTTTTTTATCATTCTCCTATCTGATATTTATTTAAAATTTTATACCCTTAATTAAAATTTTAAAATACCATGTTATAAAGTAATTAAAATTGCACATACAGTTTTCTATAATGATTAGGATTCTTTTTAATAATCATTTTTGCAATAAATTGCATAGATGATTGTGTTTTGAGCTTAAACCACCATTGAATTATTTAGAGAATCCTACTTCTTCCTATGCAATTTTAAAACTTGTTATTCTATAAAATATACAAATCGCTCTCAGTTTCATGAGGTTTTAGTAAATTTTTGGTCCTAGGTAGTCATATGTTCCAGCTTGTCTCTAAATTCAAGTCCCTTAAAACAGTTCTTTAAGTCCTTTAATAAAACTCTATTATTTAAATATCTCAGTTAGAGTTGCTGAAGCCAAAGTCCAGTTAGACAAGCTCCAAAATGATGTTCAATCTAGTCCCCATGATTATTCTGCTATTGCTTGTGAAAAGATTGCCCTTGCTGCTTATGTTGATCTTTAAATCCTTATAAACAAAAGGCCAAAATGTACAAAATGTAAAAAGGCCAAAATGTACAAATCAAGTGTTTTCATTTGTGATTGATTATGAAATTCAACAGGTATGTATGTATGTATGGATGGAACAGGGGATTGCAAGCTCCATGAAAAATCAATTAACCAACAAAATCATTTCTTTGAGCTACAACTCTGCAAAAAGAAACTAATATGACAAAATTCAAAGTGCAGAAGCATAAATTAGTGAATCAATTTGGCTACAAACACTGAAGGTAAGTAGTTCCTGAAAAAAAAAATTATTGGTAAACCAAAATTTCCTCATGATTAACTAATTGCGTGTTTCTAGAATGTATTTTTCAGTGATATTATGTTTGAAATACATGCTAATCATTATATACTTCTTGATATTATAGCCTCGGAGGAGCAAACTAGTTTGAGCAGCCTCGGAGGAGCACATATGTTTTCAAGGCTTCAAGGAATAGCACTGACCGGAGAAAGAAACCATGGCACAACACCAATAGGCCAAAAAAAAAAATGAAGATACTGCATCCAAAGGAGATAAAGTTGACACCTGAGATCGCTTTTGGGGGTGCTTGTATTTGTATGGGGTCTCATGTAGTTTTTATTTGTACAAAACAACCTTCTATCTTTCTTTCTTTGTATTTGTATGGGGTCTCATGTACTTGTATTTGTATAGTATTAGTTTTTATAATGAAGCCTATCCAGTCAAGAAATGGTTTTCAATTGACTTAAAATTTTATGTAGGTCGGTACTTGCTATCATTTACTCTCTTGGTTAGACCAAATACTTGATAACATTTGTAGCCCAATGGTAGACAAGTATAGTAATATAGTTGTGTTTTGATTCATGTGTGTTTCTTACAACATTGTGATTGAATCTGTTTTCAATAGCCATTTCATATGGAGAAATAGTTTCTTTTTCTTTTTCTTTTTCTTTTTCTTTCTTTAATTGAAAATTGAACTTCTTACTTAAATTCAAATTTAAATTTATAATAAACACAACCAAAATCAAGTCCTAGGAAGATGAAAATGTAGTAATAGTTCACTCCACAAGCAGATTCCCTTCTTCCCTTCCTCCGTCTCTCTATATGAAAGTTGAATGTAAATTTAACATAACAAACTACGTAGACATTCACACCTGATCAATTGAAGAAACTGGAAACATTAAACTCACAAATCAATTAAGTTATATCTTCATGAATAGCCAAACAAAATTATAACGGATTGATGTTCAATCCCAATGCATGAAACACATCGCTGAACTTGTTTCTACATTAAGCATTCAGCCCTTTGTACATTATGTTTTATTTTGTTTCCTCTATATTTCCAGCCCTTTGCCCACTACAATCCACAAGCAATACACTTGATTTATAAATAAAACAGTGTAGATTTTTTTAAGAGAATAAAAATTACAAAAGGGAAAGAAAATAAAAACATCACCCAATTAAAAATTTCATTGGAGGAAAGGACCAGTTGGCTAGAAGGCAACATATCAATTACCATACACAACAAAAAAAAAGACTAAACAACACCACCAAAACATTAATTCTAACAAACCAAAAACTAATTAGCTCGATTGAATTCCCATCCATCAATTAGTAGCCAATCTAATAATTTAAAGCATCAAACATCATTTTCTTCTTGCTGGTCACAAGTTGATAGCATCTGCCCAAACCCCCACCTAAATTGTTGACTTGTCTCCAAACCTCCAGTTATATCGCAAGTGTTTAGATTAATAACCTGACAAATAAAAAATATAAATGAAGTTAATAAGGATCAATTTAAGAATAATAGTCTATTTATTAAAAACCAATTAAGTCAGAAAGAAAATTTTAGTTTGCAACAAAAATTCTTCAAAATCATTGTATATCAAAATTATATCTCAAGACATTTATCAAATAGTTGGTTTGCAACACAAAATGTAATACAAATCATAAGAAATGCTTCCAAAATGCAAAATAGAAATTTCAGTAAAAAAAAAATGGGTCTATAAAAGCACTTTCATACCCCATCTAGAAGAACCACCATTAGAGCTAGAGAAGGAAAAGCACAAGCAAAGCAAGTGAGGTTTGAACAAAGGTAGAGAAAAGAACCCAAGTCTCCATATCTTTCTCTCAATCTCAGACTTTCAAAATGAGTACCATGAAATTTTGCCGCGAATGGTCAGTCCTTCAATCCTTCATTTTTCCACATTCGCACTCACAGATATGTATGTGTGTATATATATATATATATATGTTCATTCACTTGTACATAACAGCAAAAAATGACAATGATGATGAAATGGACCTCGTCATGGTCGCAATCTCATCTTGCCGCCGTTGCGTTCCTCCGTCTCTCTCAGTTTGTCTCTCTGCCGCTCTCTCTCTCTTTGTCTCGCATCTCTCAGTTCGTTTCTGTGTTAGGGCTAAACACAGATGAAAGTGATGAACTGAAAAAAGGGGAGGAAACTCAAAATTTGAAGGAAAAAAAAAAATTAAGTAAAACGACATCGATTTGGATGTGCTGGAGTGGCCGCAGGAAAGTGCGACCGATGATCCGAACTCAAGAATAATGGTGTAAGAGCATCTTGCTATAATTTGGTAATGAATAGTGCTATTTTGTCAAATTATAACAATGATGCTCCAATGGTCACTTGTTATTTTGACAAATTCTCAAATTATAGGTTTTTTTGTTATTTTATTTTTGTTTATTTTTTGTCTTTTATGACCTTTTTTTAACTATTTGTAAAAAAAATTATATATTTATATTATTCTCGACTAGACAAATATAAAAAATGAAAAAAATTTGAAAAATTAGAAGAAAAAAAAAATATAATTCAATTTGAAAAATTAAATAGAAAAATTAAATTTGAAAAATTACTTGATTTTTTACTGTTTCAATTCTGTTTTTTCAACTGAATTTGGAGCCACAAATATATTCATGTTTACTGATGTGGCATGTTTGACAATTGCTATACTACTTGTCAAATTTAAAAACGTATATGACATATGTCATCTTTGGCATGTAAAATAACAAGTCATTGACGACTCACTTTTTATCACTATTGTTAAATTATAATTTTGACAAGTGTTTTGAAAGCTCCATTGGAGATACTTTGACACCTGGATTAGAATACATCCTATTATTATAAGAAGGTGAAAATTCACAGAGCAAAGAACTAGATCCTCTCTATATATGACTCTGATGGTAATAGTCCAATAGACATGAAAAGTATGAAGAAATAAAGGATATTATTTCTTAGTTCTCCGGTTGATTATCCTAAGGATGGGAAAACCAAAGTCGATGAGCTTATTCAACCTTGCTTATCTGAATCTCATCTCTTCCTTCTTATTTCTCATGTTTCTAAGCTAAATTTGTTGTTGTTGGGCTTTGTTAGGTCCTCATGGATATTCAGGAAAAGTAGGTAAACCTATTTCAACCTTGCTTATCTGAACTATTTACATTTTTTTAAAATTTTTATTATTACATTTTCATTCCTATCTAAAATTATCAAAAAATACTCCTTTCAAACAATTTGAAAATCCTAATTTTTCTTTACACCCACGCTCTTACCACCACCTCCACTGGCCTACCCCCAAGCCCCCTCCATGGCCCACCAGTCCCTTTTCACCCTAAGGTCAAGTTTGGAACAAACTAATTTAGTAATTTTTTGATTATTTAGCTAGAAAGGTAGGTAAAAAAAATTTATATGTTTGGGATGATTTTTTGGCTAATTACGAAAATATGTGCAAAAAATAGAGAGAAAAGAGAATCTTTAACTTTTTGATATGAGTTATTGATTTTTTGACTAATTTAATAATTTTTTAATTAATTAACTAAAAAAAGTAAGTCCCAAAGGGAGCCTAAGTCGCCATCCCCAACCCCTCTCTAACAGCCCCTCACTCCTCATCTGCCACTCCTTTTCTAGATCTCCCCTTTCCATCACTCCCACCTCCTCCTATCACCAGCAGCCTCCTTTTTCTTATTCTTCTTTTATTTTAGATATAAAAATCCTATATCTTTTTCTCTTTCTCTTTCTTTTTTTCTTATGAAGGTAAGACTAAAAAGGAGGGCTAGAAGGAGGGTCGCGATGATGGAGGTTTGTAGGGGTGGTTGGAGGATGGGGGTGGGGGCAGGAGCAAGGGCGAAACCACCTATATGCTGATGGGGTTCCATCTCCCCATCAAGCAAACAGAACTTAAAAAAAATATATATATATACATATAGTATCACCGTTAATATTTATATTGTTAATATTTTATTTTATATAATTTAATTTTTTTTTTAAAATTAAGAAATCCTATCAAATAAGAAAAAATGTTTAATACAACGGTGATATTATATCATTCGTACTATCATCCAATAATATCTCGTCATTTATCTTCTCATATCTATAAAATAAAACAGCTATGTTTTTGAAAAAATATCCAAAAATATCCTAAATGTCAGTTCGAATGTTCAAGACTTGTTCAATCTAATGGTTGAAATGTCATAGATATAGAAGTTTTTGAGAAGAAATTAAAAAAATTAATTTTTTAATTTTTAACAAAAAAATTTTTAAAAAAATTAAAAAAAAATCAAAATTTTTAATTAAAAAAATTAAAAAATTAATTTTTTACTCACTTTTTAAAACACCACATAATTGAATTGATGGATTGAGATAAGTTCAATTAACTTCTATATAATAAAGTAGCTTTTTGAAAAAATATCTTAAATGTCACTTCAAATGATCAAGATTTGTTCAACCTAATGGTTGAAAACGTTATGGGTTGTTTTGGGAAGTTGGTAAAAAGTTGGTTTTTGGCTTTTTATCAAGTTTTTTGACTTTTTTGGAAGTGATTTGAGAAGTTGGTAAAAAGTTGGCTTTTTGCTTTTTAGTTTAATATTTATTTATGGTGTCAAATCAAACTAAAATGACCAAAATACCCTTACCCAACATAAGAGAGTTATTTTTTTTATTTATTTTTCATAGGCCCTAATTTGTAATTTTAGGGCTGCGTTTTTAGCACTTGCCAAATGGCTTTTTTGACTTTTTTGGCAGCCACGTTTTTGAACATTTTATCCAAAAACGTGACTTTTTACCATGTTCCCAAAATGACACATAATTGAATTGATGGGCCGAGATAAGTTCAATTAACTATTAGTTCAATTCTCTCTCTCTGCTTTTGAAAAGAAAAGGCGAGTTCCAATGCATAATTTTTATACAAAAAATTAAATATAATAATGTGTCAAATTAAACATTTATTATCATGATTTAAAATTTTAAAAATATCACTATCACATATTTCATATAAATTATTTTTATGTTATATTTGATAAGCGAGTTATAAATTTTATTACTTATCATAGGAGGTGTTTGAGAACTTGATTTTTAGATATTTTTTTTTAATTTTTTTCATTATAAGACAAATATTTTATAAAATCAAAAAAAATAATTTTAAACAAAATATCACGTCAAATCTCATAATCATTTTACTTTTTCTCTCATAAATATCACATCAAATCACAAAAAAACCCAACTATATTCTCAAACACAAAAAAATTTTCTCCAATAATATTCTACAATTAAAAGAATTTACAAAAACACTCACTTCCCAAACACTCATTATGTGACATAAAATTAAAAAAAATATTGACCATTAAGCATTTTTTTTCTCTTCATCTTTGATCAATTTTTCTCACCTTTTCTTCATATAAATTGAAATAGCTATCAATGGTTACTGAATTGCTCTGGAAGTCTATTACTTTCATTTTCATGATTAGTTTAGGCAGTTAAATGAATTCATGGGTTGAGAAACGATCATGCTACGTAGCTCGAATGCCGCGGCTCGAAACGCGGCTCGACACCAAAACGACGTCGTTTTGGTGTCGATTTTGTTTTTTTGTTTTTTGTTTTTTTTTTTCCTGGTTTGCAGAACGAAGAAGAAGAAGAAGAAGAAGAAGGGAGAAGAAGAGAAGGGAGGAGGAGGAGGAGGAGGAGGATGGAGGGGAGGGGGCCATAAAAACCGGTTTGAGGAGGAGGGGAGGCTGGGCTGCGACGGAGGCGGGGCTGCGACGGAGGAGGAAGCAGCAGCGGTGGCCGGAGTTGCGACGACGGCGGGGCGGGGCTGCGACGACGCCGACCTTCTTCCTCTCCCTCCCTCCCTTCTCTTTCTCCTCTCCCTCTCCCTCTCTTCCTCTCGAGCCATTTCGAACCTGATAGCTTCGAGCTACCAGGCATTTTCCGTTGAGAAAAACCCAAGTAATGATTAGTTCAATACACTCTCTCCATCTTTTTCTTTATACTTTTGAAAAGAAAAGGCGTGTTACAATGCATAATTTATGTATAAAAAAAAATACACAGTAAAGTGCAAATTAAGCACTTATTTTCATGGTTTAAAATTTTAAAAATATCCCTACAAATATTTTGAACAAGTTTCTTTTGTGTAAATTTTATGTAAATTATTTTTTATATTATATTTGATAGACCAATTAGAAATTTCATGTCTACTACGTGACAGGAGATTTAAAAAATAGGAAAATTGCAAATCAATGTATATTGTCAAAAATAATTTCAAATTAGTAGAGAACTTCTTAGTTGGCCACCATGACTTTCCTAAGGGTTTAGGTCCAAGGAAGAGGTCTTCTTTCTAAAGAGAAGTTGAATTAGGTGTGTGTTTGATTGGGGGATAAGGGGAGGATTATTTACTGTGCGGATTGTAATCCGGGGCAATCATCCAATCCGATGTTTGTTTTTCTTTTAGTCCGGTGTAACAAGCCCGCGGGGGACCTCGCTACAGCTCGGACTCGACTTTCGCAGTCACGGTTCTAAATCTGAACCAAAGAGTCCAAATCCGGCAAATCGTTTTTTAGGAGAACTGATTTTTTGAAAGAAGTGCCAAACATGGACTGCTTTGCCAGATACAGAGTCGCCACCTAAATATTTTATTTTGGGAAATTTAGTTTAATTTTTTAAAATAATTTTCTATAGATATTTTATTGATGTTTTATTTTAAAATTTTGTTTATATTTTATTTAATTTAATTATTTAAATGCTAATAGATGTTTTATTTAATTTTATTGTTTAATTATTATTATTTTTAAAAACAAATTTATTTAAAATTTTAATTAAAAAAATAACATATATTTTTATTGATATTTTATTTATTTAATTTTAAAAAAATAAATTTATTTAATTGTGTAAAAAATAAAATAAAATAAATTTTTATTTAATCTAGCTAAAAATAATTAAAATATTAAAGATATGTTTAATATTGCTATTACTTAGTACATAATTGAAAAAAGGTAAAATAGTCTTTTGTTCATTTATCCTATCTAATTCGTCCAACTAAACGTTGGATTCACTAAAAATAGTCATTTCCAGATATCTAATTCTATGAAAAAACAAACACAGGATACATATCCAATCCAATCAAATAGTCCGGGGGATTCACAGTCCCAAGACTCAAGTCCGATGGATTCTAATCGCCCCTTATCCAGTCCGTCCAATCAAACACACCCTTAATGTTTTGTAAGGGTGGAGAGAATTGTTTGGGATGATCTAAATGAATACACTTTTTAACTTTTTATGAA